ACAGCTCCTGGTCACTTCATGGTCACACCCACCCATGGCAGCAGGACAGGTGGATAGCTCACTGTTTCCATCTTTGTACCACCTAGGTTACAGAGGTTCACAGAGATTTTATAAGCAGCAGTGAGGTTTCCAAGATTCCACCAAATTGTCTAGTTTTTCTCTTCTGCAATTTTTGCCTCTATCCCTTTTCTTAAGGAAGTAATTGACACTTGAGCAGAAACTTTCTTTTCAAGTTCAGGTCAATTTGAGCTCCGTCAAACTGACATTTAACAGAACAAATCATCCTGTCAATGATAATTTAGCTCTGACTTATGGCTGAAGGAGCCATAGTATCACATTGTCAAAGAATCATCATAGAATCACAGAATGGTTCGTGTTGGGAAGAAMCTTAAAAATCATCCAGTTCCAATGCCATTGTCATGGGCAGGGACACTATCCATCAGACCAGAGTGSTCAAAGGTACATGTGAACCAGCCTTGAACACTTCCAGGGATGGGGTGTCCAAAACTTCTCTGGACAATCTGATTCACTGCCTCACCACCCTCACAGTAAAGTATTTTCCTAATATCTAACCTCATTTTATGGTCTGAAGCCATTCCCCCTTGTCCTGTCACTGGGAGCTGTTATGAAAAGCCCCTCTCCATCCTTCTTGCAAGCTCCCTTCAGGTACTGGAAAGCCACAATTAGGTCACTCTGAAGCCTTCTCTTCTCCAGGCTGAACAATCCCAATTCAATCCCAATTCTCTCAGCCTTCCCTCACAGCAGAGGTGCTCCATCCCTCTGATCATTGTGGTGTCCCTCCTCTGGWCTGGCTCCAGCAGGTCCCTGTCCCTCCTGTGCAGGGTCCCCAGGGCTGGATGCTCCAGGTGGGTCTCAGCAGAGCRGAGCAGAGGGGCAGAATCCCCTCCCTCCCCTGCTGCCCACGGTGCTCTGGGTGCAGCCCAGGACACGTTTGGCTCTCTGGGCTGTGAGTGCCATGGCCGGGGCATGTCCAGCTCTCACCCCCAGCACCCCCGAGTCCTTCTGGGCAGGGCTGCTCTTGGTCTGTTCCTGCCCAGCCTGGGCTGACACTGGGGGTGGCTCCACCCAGATACAGCATGAGCACACTTGGCCTCGTTAAACCTCCTGATGTTCCCATGAGCCACTCCTCGAGCTTGTCCAGGTCCCTCTGGATGGGATTCCTTCCTTCAGGTGTGTCAAACCATCACTCAGCTCAGCATCACTTGCAAACTTGCTGAGAGTTCACTCAATCCCTTCGTCATCAGTGAAGATGTTAAATCACACTGGTCCCAGTACAGACCCCTGAGGGACAACACGCATCACTGATGCCCATTTGGAYTCTKARTCATTGACCACTGCCCYCTGGATGTGACCATCCAACCACVTTCTCATCCATTCAACAGTCCCCTCATCAAATCCATCTTTTCGGTATAGAGGGAAGGATGGTGTGAGGAGTCATGTCAAAGACTTTACAGCAGTGCTGACGTGCCCCACACACAAACAGGCAGGAGCAATGTGCTCTGAATTTGTGGCTCAAAGCACATAAAGAAATTCAGTACTGAAATCTAAACATAATATTTTCATTGCTGGGGATAAAAGCAACCCAAAAACTAACATTCAGACTGGGATTCTTCTACACTGCTGAAGACCATGGTCAACTATTAACTATCCATGTATCTGCTACGATATACRTTGCAGAGCAAAAGCCTTTATTTATTTTATACAACTGTCTTTCAYGTTAGCACCCTGTGAGGCTGGTGGATTGCTGGAACAGGTTAACCAGAGGGGTTGTGGGGTCTCCATCCTTGGAGTTATTCAAAACAGACCACACATGACTGGGGACAGCCTGCTCCAGGTGGCCCTCAAGGGTCTACATGATTTCTGGTGGTCCCTTCCTCCAGGAAAGAATTATTCTGTTTTATTGGGAAATTATGTGGAAATGTACATATTTACTTCCTTCCTGTGTAGGCTGTTAAATGCAGGAGGCTGTATTCCAACAACAAGGATTTCCCACACTGCAGGCCAGCTGCACTGCTGTGCTCTGGTATCCAAATTCTCCCAGCCATTAAGAAGATTTTTGCTTTTTGCAAACYCTATTACCTTGCCTTTGAGCCACACAAAGCTTACAAGCACTGCAGACAAACTGTCTCTTCCTAATCCAGTAGAAAAAAATTGGATTTGGATCCTAGGGAATGGCAACAGAACAGGAGCTGGAATGGCAGCATTGTAAAACACAGCACATGATTTTGGGAGAGTGCATAGAGAGGGAAAATGTCTGCTCCTTGTTCTGAAATGATAAAGTCCCAGTTTTAAACACTTTTAAAAATAAATTATATCTGTTTTGCTGAGCTGTTCCCAGTGCTCCTATGTGACAGCCGTTCTGACCTCAAATACATGAATCTGCAAATGAATGCAATCTTCTGCATGATGTTTCCTCTCTTCTTTTTTCCTATCTTACATTACAGAAGATTTGTACATTATAGAAGATTTGACCTAAACCTTAATGCCTCAGTATAAAGTCTAACATAGAATTATACATCATTTAACATCTGTCATAGCAAATACCATTCACCAAACAACAAACCATTGATTTTCTAATAAGTAACACATGAATATTGGCCTATTAAGTATAAAGTTTATGTACTTCAGTATATTTTATTTCACTTCTGTCCTGGAACAGACAAAAAWTTTGAATTTATTCCCTCTCTCTGAGTTGGTTGACCTCAGATTAGAATTGAGATCTCACCCTAATCTGGACTCATTCCCTGTCCTTTATTTTATATTTATAAAACATCATGATCATTCTCTGTTGGAAAGAGAAAAGAAGTGAACTGAAACATTTGGAATCAGATATATTAAATATTTAACCATTTTGAGACATCTCCTATCATTCAGTAGAATAATTGAAGAGTTTTCTTGTGTTTATCATTCAGAGGATGCTGATGAAAGTTGTACAGAACAGAAGGATGTGTTCTCCAGCACTGGATCAAGCCCTGGCTGGTTTTAATTATGTTTCTGTATGGTTTTCAAATGGTTCAACATCACCTTCATTAACTTTCTTCCAATGTCCCAAGATAAACTGAGAACTTTTCCTAATTTCTCCCAACTGTCCTTAATCCTTCTTATTTCCAGCTGTTTGACTAACTTAAGAGACTTGAGAGAACTTTTCCATGAAAGAAGTCAACACTTTACAATACATAAAGATCCTGCTGTGCCCAGTAACATGATACAAAATGTGCAGGATTTTCCAGATTTTCCTTGGACACAGGATTTAATGCTGTGGAGGACAAAAACCGAACCACAGACATTTAGAAAGATAATGAGAATGTGGTATATGATTTAATACCGAACTACATAAAGCTGTTTCCAGTGGAATTTCATGTGYGTGTTAGCTAAGAGCTTTTGTAACACTTTGCAGTTAACTAAAATTTCTGACCGCATGTACAGGATTGTTATTAACCTCGGGCACTCAAGAAGTCAATTCCTTTGCTTACATGGCTGGAAGGAAGGATATAAGGAAGGCAGAAGCTGCAGGCAACACAAGTGGAGCTCTGCTGACTGCCTGAACACGTGCTGTGATTTGCTTTGCTTCAGATGTGATGAGAAATGATTATTTGTTTCAGGCCTGTTTGTAGAGTTTGGAGCTAGGATGTTAACTCTTTCTGTCAGAAACTTCCTCTTCATATGTGCCAATATTAATTGTACCCAATTAAAATTAAAATTAAACTGCTCAACGGTTTACCCCCAAAACAGATTGAACAAAGACAGATATAAACTTGTGCTTCCTTAAACATTGCACTCACCTCTTCTTCCCTGTGGTACTCTGCAATGAGGTGGAATGGCACTGTGTACAGCGTGCTGGACATGACTCCAAAGAGTGAGCAAAGAGCCAGGGTGGAATTGACATTGGGAAACAAGCCAATTAATCCCGTACCCAGTCCAAAAAGTAGGTATCCAAGGAAATATAGTCCCTTTAATCCTATGTATGGCTGAAGGACTTGCTGCAAGTCTGTGAAGAGAAAGCAAAAAATGTTGATAAGAGTAGAACAAAACAGGTCATATTTTATCAGGGAGTTCCTTTTTAAGGGGTTGTATTTTACAAAATGCAATGAACGAGATAATCTTGATGATTTTGGAAATTGCCTCAAATTATTGTAGGTATGACCTTGCCAAAAAATACTTGCTCACAGCACCTAGAGCTCAACCTGCATCTCTCACTGTGGCTGCACCCATGCTGAACAGATGTTCCTCAACACAAAGGCTACACAGAAATGCCCACAGTGAAGCTCCAAAGGTGAAAACATTTCCTCCAAGCCTCTTCTGGATGCTCAAACCCCCAAAGTGCTACTTAGTTGAGTTTTTGGAACACAAGTAATTTTTTAGTCCTTGGGAGGAGTTATGGTGAGTTCTCTCTGGGGATCTGTGCTAGCATGTTTATACATAACTTTGGAGAGCAAGATTCAAACTTCTGGCAAGAGCTTCTGCATGGGGAGTGCAAACGGGGAGAGAGACCACCTTTGAGAGCMTACAGCTACAGCATTGCTAGGGGAGAGAGCATCTGAGAATTCAGTCAGGCAGTTATGTCCAGAATGATTTTCAGTGTTCAGGGAAAGTTCACTCCCACAGTGACCCCTCATCGTGTGGTGAAGAACTGTTTATATTAAAATAAGAGTTTCTAACAATGCTGAGAATCTAACATTCCTCAAAGCTTTAATGTAGAAAAAAAAAGCCCAATTTGGCATCACTTGATGTTTTTAAACGATGTCAAATATGCAAATAGGCAGTGTTGGAATTCATTCATGGGTACTTACAAGAATAGAGTGATGAAGCAACGGCGTTGATGCACAGTCCCCAGCATCCCATCTCCACCCCTGTTTTGTAGGTTATGTAGAGCGTGGAGTTGTGAGGGGCATAAGGATTACCGTGATACACAACCTGAAAGAGACCACAGGGGCTGGCTGCAGGAGTGGAATGATGGAATGTCTCCTTCTCACGGGAGCAGGGCCCCATCCCTGGTGGGGAGCACCTCAAACATTAAGCAGTGTCCTAACATCCCATTTGTAATTCTCCACATTTCACACTCACCACCACATCCCAGGCTCTGCCTACTTTATTACCCTCTGCCTTATCCTGTCTATTTTACATTGACTTATTTGCTCTTTTATGCTTTGGGTGTCTCACTTCCAATTAACTGCTTCTCTCCACTTCTGCCTTCTTGCTTAGCCTTTCTTTCCCAAATTTTTCTATAATTATTTTCTGTTTTCTCTTTCAGGTTTACCTCAACACGCTCATTTTCCCACAGAGTTATTACCTTATTCATTTCCTTATCTAGAAAAGCAAAATTTTTTCTTTTAGTTGTTCATCTACACTGCAAGGGAAAAAACTCCTCCCTCCTGCCCAGMAACCAAGAATTGCCCCAGTTAGAAAATCTGCCCATCCTGGAGCACCCCAAAGCCAAAGCAGAAAGGACTTGGGTTTGGATCTGCTCTGAGAGCTTCATTTGGAGCAGTTAGACAAAAATATCTTTACAAATACTGAAAGGTTTCCCCAAAGACTACATAGACATGTTGGAACAAGGGCCTGACCTTAAATAGCTGGTTTACAAAACTAATGTTGAGCCATCCAGATATAAATGGCTTTGACACCAGTGCCATTTCCTCAGGGAACACAGTTTGGTTTCTTTTTGATAGAGGAGGAGATGCTACAAGGAAGGAGAAGCGGGAGGATTTTATACTTTTACCTGTCCCATGAAATCTGTGAAGAAGAGCATGTTGGACAGGAAAGCCATCCATCCAAAGAGGTGGCTCACACACAGACAGCGATAGTGGTATGGCATGCTTAAAAGTGTATTCAAGAGTGATTTAAGGGTCATCTGCCTTTGTTCCTAAAAGCAAATATTTAACAGTAATACAGTATTATTGCCCTGAAGCTAATGAAATAGCTGACAGCAAATTAAGAAGGTCTTAGCATCTTTTCATTGCTAAATTTCCAAAGACTTTTTTTTTTTTTAGTAAGGGTTGCTTGGATACTGAATTTCCTTCAATTTATAAAATTCACAGAAACTCTAGAAGAGAAGGGGTATGCCAACAAGAATGTAACATTTCTTGCTGTTATGATCAGTAGGTCAGTAGGACTATTATTTCTACTGTGTAGAACCACAGGGAAATTTTCAGCCAAAGCAGATTCAGAGAGTTACAAAAAACTCAACAAATCAACAACAGAAACAACCAGAAACAAAAATTATTTCTTTATAGAGACCATCAGCTTTACATTTAAAATTTAAAGTTACTGTAGGAAAAATATGCTCAAAATACATCTGAAAAATTAAAATRTATCAGTTGTGGATTTCTGAGCATTTCTGAGACCTCATTCCCATTCCATTCAAAGTGCTGAACTCCCTAGAAAACTTTTGCCTCTTCAGGCATATCATGAGATTACTGCTCTGCGCTGTCCTCCCTCCCATGAAGCAGGGGAAGCCATGGTTCAGCACAGCAGCACACAGAGAATGTGAGCTCCAGCATCTGAACACCTCGTGCCATAGCAGAGAGAACTCATTTCAGAATCAAGGCTTCATTGGTGCTGGTTAACAAATCTCACTGATGAGGATAAACAAATTTTCTCACCATCTTCAATGCCCCATGTTATCTCCTTCCTCCTTGTCTCAGCCCTGTGCCCTAAAACCCTCAATTTCTTTCCCAGACACATTCATCAGATCATTTTTATCACTTTTTTTTTTTTTTTACAACTGTAGATGTGTTTGATATCAGGTGTTTTGACACATAATTTTTCCTGTATTAAAGCTCGTGCATGGTTCTGTGCATTTAAAGAAAAAGAACAGATTTTAACTTTGCATGATGGAACACTTCCAGTTTTCTCTCACAATRTTTGGAGACAACAGTTTGGGAGAGATGTTAAGGGAAGATGTATGTCATGAAATGTGGAAAAACTGCAAAAGTTATGTTAATTACTGGAAATTACTGGACTGAATCTTGTCTTGAATTTGCTGTAAGATGTCATTTTTTCCTTTCTTCCTTCGGTGTTGTACTTTCCACAATTCTACTTTCCTTTGAACAAGGCTATGCTGCAAGCAACTCTATGAATAATCACCACATATAAAGTTGGAAAATACTTTGCTTCAGTGTGAGGTTTTTAATCCTCATAGGAATGCCAAAATTCAAGTTGCAGTTGCTGACTTTCACCTTGAACTGTGTATAGTCCAAATCCCTTGGAATTTCTCTTGGCATCACTGTCTCTTCTAAACAGGGCAAGCTTTATATTCTACAATTATGAAAACCAATGAAAATATTCCAGATTGACTCATTAGTGTTATTTCAGTGATAATTACTATTGTTTGACCTGGCTTATTTTGTAATAACTTAGTTTGTAGTTCTTCCACAGTTTTGGGGTTTTTTTTTTTTCATTTCCAGTCAAAGTTTTAAGATAAGGTCATGGAACTACACAGAACACCACAGTGAATGCAAACAACAATTTGACAGCTAGAGAGAAATGTTTCTTTCTATTTAGCTATTTTAGAGCATGGAAATGGAAACCAGAAGTGTTCAATGCACACATTCAAAACATACCTACACACAAAATTAATGCTAATTTAAATAATGTGCTGAAGTTTGCCTCAGTTTAATCGCCTCACCCTTCAAAAGCTCACAATACCAAATAATCTTCTCTAGAAAATCACTACAACTTGGGGCATAAAATGATTCACAAGAATACAGAGGAAGCAATATGACTTGGGTTTTATGGAGGTGGACCCTGAATAATTTGGCATCATGCAAAAGAACACAAGGCTAATTGCTTTGGGTGTCTGTTCATACTGTAACAGGTCAAATCTCATTAATAATCACATTAGATATTAGCATGTGAGAGTACAGCCTTAATTTAGAAGAAGTAGGGCCATGATGCCTGCAATTAAAAAAAAAAAAAAAGACAGAAAAACAGGAAGCCAAACCATTTTTTCAAGGAAGTGATTACAGTAATGAATGAACTCAGAAAACATGTGCCACAGGAGACAAATCATTAAAGCAGTGAGTGTCTCGAACTTGTACACACTCCGGCACATCAAAGAAGCACGAGACTGATCAAAGCCCTGGGACTCCAGCAGGCTGCCCAGCCTAATCAGAGAGGAGGCGATGGCACAGCTCACCCGCGGCGGACACTGCAGCTTCACCTCGGGCGTTACTGACCGCATGGGACATTCCTTCACAATCTGCTCCCCTCACTGCCCCTGCATCACTCTTTTTTTTTTTTTTTTTTTTTTTTTTTTTTTTTTTTTTTTTTTTTTTTTTTTTTTTTATTAGAGCCTGCATGGTCCAAGCAGTCAATGACACTCAGCATCTCTAACAATTTGGAGGGTGCTCAGAGTGAGCAGTGCTGCTCAGGCTGGCTGCAGTGGGGGAGCCCAGACAGCATCACAGTGTGCTGGTCATGTTCTCCTCACAGCTGTTGCTGTCTGCCCCACTCTGTCTGGCATTCTCATCACCCAATGCTCCTCTCATACACTTTACATATGGCATAATATCATTTTTCTTCAAGTTAGAAATACCAAGTACTRTTATAAAACAAATCACAAATAGTAAAATGTAATACATCCCTTGTATTTATAGATTAAATACAAGTATTGTGTTTATATATATAACCATTTAATATATAGTGTATATATAACAATTTGTACATGCTCAATAAGTGTAACCTGACTTATCAAACCTCTGTATCATGGACCAATATAATGACAAGAGATCAAAAGTGAAATTAAAATAACAARCAACTGTGTCACTTTTTTTTACACATGGCTTGCCTAGGGTACCGTGAGACATAATACCAAAGTCATCAACACAACATTAAAAAGTCATCATCTCTTCCCAAGATACTCTTCCAAAAGTACACTCCCCAGATATTTTTCTAGTAGATTCACCTTTTCCTAGGGGCCTTCGCTTGAAGCAATCTCTCACAAAAATGGATCAGAAACAAAATAACAGTGGTCATTTGAAACTACACACTATTTTCTCACAACTTAAAGTTTTGCCAAGGACACAGCTACAATATTGSTCAAAATAAAACTAAAATTCTAGTAGCAAGGTAGCAGTGCTGTAGAAGTAGCAATTTTAATTTGAGTACACATTAATAGCCAATGAAATGTTGAGCAGCAGGAAACCCAAATGTTTACTAGACAGGGAATGCACATTTTATATGCACTATGTACAAAATTGTGAGGACTTTGGTGGGAATTAGAGACTACCATCAAAGATTAATGGTCTGTAGTCTTTATATGCAATTTTATTCTAATTATATAAAGACTAAAGAACAAAGTAGATGCTCTTGACAAAATTCACRTGAGGAGGGTATTGAAAGAGTGACATGGAGAAGAACCAGGTTCTCCCTTTTCCCTGCCAGTTGATCAAAGCATCAGAACTAGCCCGTCTCATCCCTCTTGCCTGCAATACTTTCTAAAGAAATAAAAATTAAAAAAAAATTAAAAAGGCAACCAGACTTTCTTCTGTCTCTGTATCCTGGTGGAAAGTTCTTTTTCTGCGCATGTGAAAGGGCAACATTACAAATTAGAATTAGCTAATTGAAGGCTCTCCAAGGATGCAAAGATGCGTCCTATAAAATAATTTCTGCACTCACCTCTCTGCGTGATGTGGCCGCGCATTTCCCAGGCTTGGCTGTAGCATTTTTCTCAATACACATTGCTTTTAAGTAACCATTCTTGACTTCCTCATCTATGGAGTTATAGTTATGAGGTTCAGTCGCTTCCAACAAGAACTTTGCCTCTTTGTTTTCGTATCTGAGCGGGATTTCAGGAATACTGCACAGATGTACAGTAAGGCACACTATGAAAACCAAGGCTGCGAAGAGGAAAATCACCTGGAATTCTGATGCCAAGCTATATCCTAGTATAGTTTGACCCCAATCCATAGCACCTGTCAGGTAACCCAGGGCTCCTCCCAAACCTACAATGGTGGGGAAAGAAAAGGAAAAAAATATTCTGCTGATATTGATAGAATAAACAGAATACATAATACCCTAAACATGTGATSCCTTCTCAAAATGTTCAATAATCACTCTTCAGACACTTATCACAAGACATAGGAATACTGAGCTAATCACACACATGAACAGTTATTAAAACATCTCTTGAAAAATCTCATCAGATCTGCTAAGCAGAGCTCTCCAGAAGTTGCCTGAACATAGACCAACACAGGCTCCATCTCCTTTTTTGACTTTCTGAAGTTTTATTTTTTCTTTTTTGAAATGATAAAAAATGCAAGTAAAACGAAATAAAACCCTACTGAAATTTATCTGGGGTTTTTTTTTTTAGTTTCACAGAAAAAAAGTTTTTTAAAATTATGTTGAGACTATCTATCATTTGGACTTTGTAAAATGTATTTTATTTAACTTAGTCTGAACAGAAATACTGTGTCCATGTGAAATTTTTTTAAAAAAAGGAAATAAACCCAAAARCATTGATTTGTAGTTATACATTTGGAAAAGAAAGCAGAATGGAACAAATGTATGTGTGTAATCCCATTTACTTATTTTCTCAGAACAGGCAGACAAAAGGGTAAAATGAGAATGCTACTTCGTGCCTTGAAGTTAATTTCTTCTTTTTGCACACAGGGATGCACAGGGAAGTGCCCTCTGTTACATTCAGTACAGAGCTCTGGTAGGGGTGGCAGTTTTGTAGGGTCCTGACACCTCATTATCCAGGTGGCTCTGGGGGATGTGTGGGAGTTCCACAGGACAGGAGCTTTCCAAGGACTTGGAAGCATTTCTACTCTTCTCCTTAGGAGAACTGATAATGTATAGCAAAACATCCATGCCTAACAAAAACTAACAGCATCTACACTTGCTTCCCCAACAAAACATGGGATTTTGATTTCTTTCTGGGCTTTCTGTACGTTTTGCCCCTTCCTGGGTTTGATTATGGTCCTCCTTCATTGTGTCCTACGGCATTTCACATTGTATCCTTGTTTGTTCTCGTGCAAAACAATTAAGCTGTTAATAACATTTTAAGAAAATCTACACTACATATTTTCAGTGTATGTTTGCAGAGAGAATGACATTTGAGGTTGTCTTTGCAAGCTGTTTTGAAAAAGAAAAAAAAAAGAATCAAGCTATTGATTGAATGCAGCCTGAATGTTGTGTGTTGGATTGTGTGCACTCTTTCTTCCACTTATATAAGTGGCCATGGGTTTCATAACTGCAAAGCCATCAAATGTCAAACCCTAAACTAGAGGCAAAGTGGAGAGCAAGATCTTAGAAATATTAAGTACAAATGTAAGGAACTAAAGTGAGGAAAATAAAGAATTTCTAAAACAGAATCTAGAAAAGAAATGGGAAGATTGCTCTCTGTGTCTAATTGGGATTAAACAAGGAATGACAAATTTRAACTGTAGGAAATGAATATTAAGATTAAATTTTAGGGAAAACTAACACCAAGGCCAGGGAAGTGCTGCCTTAGAAGGTTGTAGGACTCCAATCAAAGGAAGATTTCAACACCAAATTAGGGAATTTTCAGTTAGGAAGGATTAGGATATTGATGAATTTGGTGCAGAGAGCACAGGGTGCTGGACCCATCTTACTTCATGTTATTTGTTCCACATCCCTTTTCATAGTTCAATACACTGAATTGGCTAAATCTGTGGCTTCAAACTTGGAGACATTTTAGTATCATCCAAAAACATTGTAAACAGGGTTGTGCTGATTATACACACAGACCTATTCCTCTGTCCAAACAAGCGCTTTCAAAAGATTTTATCTGGCAGTTTCTAAAGGATAATACGGATTTCATTCCCATGTGTCTTTAAGCTTCCCTTATAAGCTATGTTCCTGGCCACAGGTATTTCATGTGTCCAAAATCAGTCTGTTGTCAGTAGCACTACACCTCCCTCCCTGCTGCTGAATTTACGTGTGTCAGCTCTCAGTGGGGCACAGTAGCCATAGAAATCTTTAGAAACAAAGATTTCATGACTTCTCATGTAGCCTGCATTTTGTCCAGTGCTTTCACAGGAATTGTCCTTAGATACGGCAGAGGCTCCTCCTGAGTTACTGCCCAGGTACACAGCCCTATGTGTATTCCCTGTGTGTCTCTCCAACACGGGGCTCACGTTGTRCAGATGATTTCACAGAATCACAGACTCACAGAATGTTCAGGGGTTGGAATGGGCTTTAGAGAATCCTTCAGTCCCATCCCCTCGGCCATGGGCACGGACGCATCCCACTGGACTAAGTTGCACAAGGCCTTATCCAGCCGGGCCTTGAACACTGTGTCGCCACTCTCACAGGGAAGAATTCCTTCCTAATATCCAGCCTAAATTTCCCCTCATCTGRAGAGTCCCTTTCCAGCTTCTCTGTAGGCCCTTTCAGACCTACAAGGAAGGCTCTCCACACAACCTTCTCTTCTCCAGGCTTTGGAGAAGGCCCCAACCTTCTCACCCTGTCTCCATAGAAGGGGCACTACAGTCCTCTTAYCAATTTCACGGCTCTCCTTTGGACTTTTTCCAAAAGTTTCATGTCCTTCTGTAACCTGGCAACATTCCAAACATGTACAAAGGCAAATGAAACTGTTAACTTCATTTGCAAGAAACTGAACCACTTGGATCTCTTTTRTGGAAGCTGTGAACTTCTGAATTTTACACAGAAGTCCTCTTTCTGTACAGAACATAGCGGAGCACTGCTGAAGAACGGAAATTAACTGGTTTGTGCAGCTCTTGTTCTATGGTGAGTCGGAAATGTTACTGCAATAGTCATGAAAATGTTACATCAGTTAATTTTTCCTCACTGAAAATTTGAAAGAAACCCCCAAACAATCTGAGCAAGCACTACTTCACTTTTTTAAAAGAATTGACTACTCTTACTTAAATCATGTCTGTGTTGCTGTAATTGTTTATGCCTGCAGCTTTCTGCGGTAGAATTCTTGTAGCAACAATCACAAGTTGCTGTTCTCTGGAGTAGTGAAAACCCAGCAATAAAAGACTCGTGACTGGTGTGCAGGATCAGATGATCATTTCATTCAAGATTAGAAACACAATGACCCATGCAATTACCTTCCCCTCCTCTGAGAGGTGGGGAGGAAAAGAAGGCATCTGAGTACCTGTAAAGAGGGCGTGGTAATGCAGACCAATCTCTTTATCCTGATGAGAGCAGACATCAAATAAATACGCTTTGATGGGACCATCAATAAAATCAGCTGCAAAATCAAAGAGCACTACTCCCAGCATGGTAATGACTATTGCCCACGTCCGTCGCTTTTCTCTCTCCTTGACGAAAGCTACAAAAAGAAAACACCCTCATTCTGACAGCGACAGTGCCATGTTCTGCAAATCCACATTTTGTCTTTCCTGATACCTCAAAATCTTAACAGTGACTGGTCATGCAAGGGAGTGCAGTGACACCTAAATCACATCAGAGAAGCGGAGAAACTGCGCTGAGCTGCATAGCGCTGAGCTGTGCTAGGTTGACTTAATGCCTTGAGTCAGCACATGCTCCGAATGCTCCAAGTTCCATGACCAGGAGCATCACTATCCTTCACCTACTCCATCACACCTCAAGGCAAGCCCTGGTAGCCTAACACACACATTTTGCAGTACTTTTGGTTTATTCTATTTGTTCCACCCATATATTGTTTYAGATAATCAAGAAATGACTGCAACATCTCTCTCTGGGCAAATGAAATCAAGTATACTCAACATCAATAATATCCAGGAAGAGAGAATAAATCAATCCATAAAGACACGTACATCCCCCATCTGCCAAGGAAGCAACAACTTTTTGTCAAGGCTTTAAGACGCTACATCCCAAGCGAAAATGTGGCAATAGGGATGTCAGTCCTATTTKACTTTGTTTTTTTCCGCTGTAACACAGTTTATGTAAGTTAAAGAATTCTGTTTTCCACCAGCACAACACAGTCCTGAATTAAAGGCATGCATTTTGAATACTAATCCATCTAAAATAGGGATTCATTTAGATATGTATTACCTCACAAAACAATATTATCATTTAAGCTAACAAGGTAGATGTTAGTTCATAAAAACTTCTATGGCCTAAGCAAATCTTTACTTATAGGAGCTTATCAGGTAACTAGACAGACACAAAACAGATTGTAATCACATGCACAAACTACAGAACACTATGCACAGGGTACATAACATGCAGTGTTAGGRTTGAATATATACAAAGATTCCAGGGCCCCCCAGCTCTTTCAGAGCACCCAATGACACCGGATTTTAACAGTGCAATTTAAGAAGGAAAAAGGGGAAGCCCTCTGTTTTTTCTGATTCAAAAGGCTAGGACGGGTTTTGTCTGTCAGCACAGTGCGTGCCCCTCACTCACCTGAGATCATCACGTCCCCATTGAGGTACAAAGCCATGCCTAACAGCATTATGATGCCCAGACCCAGAATGAAAGGTCGCCTCCTGCCCCATCTACAGGTGCAGTGATCACTGGCTGAACCTACCACAGGCTGCAGCACGAAGCCCAGGATAGGGCTGATGAGCCACACGAGGCTGTAGAGGCTCTTGGGCAGCCCTACACTGAGCAGCACCGGAGTGACAAAGGCGGCCTCCACGGCATAGCAGAATTCCCGGCCGAACATGGCCATGCTGTGCATCAACAGCCTTCTCACTGCTCGCTTCTTTGGCACCACTGCTCCAGTCCTCATCACTGACTGCTCCAGAGCTTCGTCCTTCTCTCTGGTGCAGTCCATGTCGGCCTTGGGCACTCCAGAGACGGGTGGAGGAGCCCCGTGGAAGTCCTCTTTCGTTAAGGTCACTGCTCCGGCTGCGAGCAGCGCCATGGTGAGCTGGTGCTGCCTGCTCTGGCTGACATGGGGCCCAGATCATATGCCGGGTGGGATCGGTCTGTGCTGGGGGAGGGACTCACATACTTTCATGGCTCTGCGATCACAAGTTATGCCAGGAAGGGGGCGGGGAAGTGTGTGTTCACATTAGCAGATCTGAACTTTTGGGCGTCTGCACTGCTCTCAGCCATCCACAACTAAGGAATTACTTGTTTACGCATGAAGCACACATACAACGGGAACATATATCACATGGTCCGGGAGCAGGATTAGCCTGACACAAAGCTGCTCCTCTTGTTGCTGTGAGACAGCAATGACACCAGGGAGATAAGAGTCTTCATCTGTCCATTCTGCAACATGACTATCAGAGAGATCATTCCCTGCTGACTGAACTGAGAGGAAAAGTCTGTATTTATCTGCTGATCTGGAAACGGATTTTAATACACTTCATGGGGATGAGTAAGTGAACATATCCATTGCCCTTCAGCATCCGTGGCAGATATAAAGCTTGACCAAAAGTTGTCATGCAGCAACWGATGACTACTTTTTTGCATCTGCTGCGTACTGCCCTCCAAAGAACTGATTATTTTCTCAGTTTCTGAAAACAAAGGATATCAGGATCACTTGGAGTTGGGGTTTTTTAAACAGTCTTACCTGCCAGGGGGAGGCCCTGAAAGGAATCTGTAGTGACATTATTCAAACTGTACCTTTCAGGTTAGGCACCCGAGTGAAGCAGCTGATCTAAGCTGTGCTGAAGCAACACGAGGTTTTAAATTAATGCAATTTTCATTTCAAAACTGATGCATGACGGAGATTACATTTGTCAATGCTGATTTTTCTCCAACATGATCAGATGCACCTGGGACTAAGAAAATTGTCAAAACCTACTGTAACAGTGTATAATATTAAGTAATTTACATTAGACTGATTATCAGCTGGAAATTTTTGCTGATTGTTTAGACAACTTGCCAGGATCTACTAGATAATTCTTGCTTTCAGGCAAGTGTTTATATAGTAGAATGAAAAAGGTTTGTTTATGGTAATAATGTTGACATTTTTGCCATGAGACATGGCAAAATGAGCTAAAATATACCTCAGCAACAAACTGATCTTTCAGCAAAACATGGACAAAACGAAACGATCAAAAAAACCCAACCCTTCATGTCRTAACTCCTCACACATTGGATTACAGAACACTGTATTAACTCCATATAACTAATTACTTTTAAAAGCAGATTTTCTTTTGCCTTGAAAGAGATGGTTTCAAGTTTAAGTTTATAGGAAATGAAAACCAACATGGTTTCAAACACTGTTCAAAACCTATGCAGCTAAGCTGCCTACCGTTTTTCCATAAGGAGAGGAAAAAATTATTAATTGGCAGACTCTTGAAAAATAAAAAAATTATTCTGAATTTAGTTTCTAGCAAAGCTGATATTCCAAATGAATATAATCAGGAGAAAATGTAGCCAGACTTAAATTGATTAACTTTGAGATWATAGCTCTGCAGCAGCACATAAGAAAATAGCATTAGTTGGATCATAGTTTTGGCATGATAAAGCAAATTAATTAATATGATAAAATAGAGGAAAAAATCTTTTATAATTCATGAATAAACAACACAATCACTCCTTTAGAAGAATATAGCCATATTTTATTAAAAGAATTGTTGTCAGGTAATTACAACATACATTACAAATCAATGGTGTAACCAAGAACTAAAAGAATCAAACTGCAGGATACAGTACTTAAAGAAACATTCTGAGGATTTACAGGTGCTTACCAAGCAAACTATGTAGATCTTCAGATCACAATTACAGTATCATTCTAGACAGCAGATCATCCACCTACACAATTAYGTAAGTCCCACTGTTTTCACATTAAATTTAAAATGTCAATAATTTAAAATTATATATTTTAAATCAATATTATATAAGCATTTATTTGTCATATAATTCAATTTAAAAGCATAAAAACTTACTCTATCAGTCTGAAATTTATCTGATATGCATAGTCAGAGATTATAAATTAGCTTTCGGGTTACCAAATTCTACTGCTTTTTCAGAATAAAGTTTAGCAATCTCTTGCTTAGTAAACCCATAATCTAGAAGTATCTCTTCTGTGTGCTCTCCTATAAAAGGATCTCTTTCACTTGATGGGATAGCAGGAGTCCTTGTTAGAAGAGGAGCAGGTCTAGGACTTATCTCTCCCTGATCATTTTTGATAAAAGAACTTCTTTGTTTGTTATGCTGATGTGAGGCAACATCATCGAGGGATAAAACAGGGGTCACACAGGCATCAGTACTATCAAATATGCTGCACCACTCAGCCTGTGTCTTCTGTGCAAAKATGGATGCAAATTTTTTCTTCATTTCAGGCCAGTCAGAGGTACTCATCTGAGAGGGGAGTTCATCTGAATCTAGCCCAAGACCTGAAAGGAGAAAAGCGAAGTTTAACTAGAGTTAACAATATTTACTATAGTTATATATAGTTAATAAAGTTTAATTATGGCTTAAACAAATTACTAAGTGCTTCCCACAACGAAGTACATTCCTCAAGAAGATAATCTTTTGCGGGCAATACTAAAAGTCACTTTGAACTTTATTTGGGTATCCTGCAGGGCAGGCAGCAGAGAAATAAAATGTTCTGTGACACTTGCAATTAGACTAAACTGCATCAGCAACAGCCTTTTAACTAAGTACATATAATAAACACTCATTTGTACAAACACTTCACAAAAGCAGCAGTTGCCTAGAGGTARTAATGTCCTGAGAACAGCTTCTGTAATAGGTATTGTGTTCTCTACCCGGCAGTAGTACTCTCTACTCTTTCATTCTGCTGCTTCAATGAGATGCAAGAATTTTTATCACTTCTTGTGGAGATTATCTCAAAAAGGAGGTAAAATAACAAGAAAAAGAAAAGGCAGCTGAAGTACACTTTCAAAATTGAGATCATACAGAGGTATAAGCAGAATATTTATACTAAATAAAAATCAGAAGTGATATATTGAAGGCTGTTCAAGCAGTTCCACCTTGAAATTCAAGAGCATGAACACAGCAGGAGAAACTCAGAAAAATCAGGGATAAGAAAGAAGTTAATTTGAGAAATCAGAAAGACTAGAGAACAACTATCATAATGCTTCACAAGTAACAAAAAAGGAAGCTTCTTATAAAACAGCATTCTCTGTAAAAGGCAGAAAAAGTGTAGAGCTCTGAAAAAATTGAATTTTGAGCATTCTTTCTTATACCTTTGGCTATCTAGTATCAGATTGATAATTAGACTAACAACTGTTAACAGGCTTGGGTACTAGTGAGTTGTTTGCAGGCAGAATTTACACAGACCTTTTCCAATCTTTAGCCATAGATAGGCAGAAAAAACTTAAAATGTCTTTCTACAGCCTCCTTTTCACTGGGAGGAGTAGACATAYTGCTGCTGAAACATATATGGGAAAAGAAAGGGAGATAATGTCTATATTCTTCTGCTCTTAAAGTTGTTTCTTTCCATTCAAAATCTGCACAATGTGCACTTCTTGGGGCCCACAGCACTGCCCCCCACCCAAGTTAATACAACATTTAAGAATTTCGCTGTTGATCACAAGGTTCCTAAACAGCAGTTTTGAATATGAATACACACTTTGAAATCATACTTTGGTACTTCAAAGGAAAACACATAGAAATTGCCAATCTTCAGACTTGTTAACAGCCTGGCAGTTCATTTTCAGCAGAAATCCATCACAGTTGAATTCACAAAATAAGCACTTTTACATCTTATTAGAAATGCCTGCGGATGCTAGGATAACTGATACTACAAGGCAAATATCAGTCCTTATGGCGCAAGATGTGCACCTTGAATCACTGAACTTACACTCCTGAATTCATAACCATTCATGTCATCCTAAAAAAGAGATCAGATGAAGATCACATTCACAGTGGGTGAATATTATGAATAAATAAAAGTTAGCAATACTTTMATTATTAATTTGATTATTGTTTTTCATACTACTAAAGACAAACAGTGAAGTATAGCGTACTTATCAACTATGAGGTGAGACAAATTTCCYTTCTTCAGCAAGTACAGCAAAGAACTAACTGAGCATCTGTCTCAATGCATGAAATCTTGTCAAGTGGAAACTTTTTTCATAGTAGTTCTGTTCTTATTAACTATGGTTTGGATTCTAGCAGCYAGTCCAACATGAGCAGAGGTTTGCCATTATCCCATTACACAATTATTTTTGATGATCGTGGCAGATGGGAAGTTGGCTGAGCCTCACGGCACACACTCTGGCAAACTAGAACAGTATGTAGAACCTGGAATTTAATATTACATGCTCATTTTCTGCTTACCACTGAAGACTTCAACTTTAAATAGTTGAAAGCATTTAAGCAGTACAGCTTCTCATTTTCCAGCTTGTGCTCACCATTTGTGGTTTAGATGAGCAGTATCAGAGCAGAAGTGACTGACTCAACAAGGAAACTATTACATGGCACAGAATTGTTTGGAGTACCACAAGAGGACAGACTTCACTCAGTGTAATCAAAAGAAAAGTATCTTTTACACAGAATATCTTATAAAGCAATCACCACTTAGTTGTTTTGTAAAAATTTTCGTTTAGGAATTTTGTATGGAAAAGCCCACTTAATCTACTCTAGCATAGCTTTGAAATTAGTTTTGAAAAACGAAAAACTGCCTCCTTATAATGATATAGCTTTAAATCTCCTTCAAATGCTACAGCTTTATTGTCATTTATGGATGCAGCAAACTGAAATCCCTATTTCTACAGAAACTCTTAGACAAACKCTAGTAAAATCAGGCACCTATTTCAGGAGGAATAAAACAGCAAAACTGATTAGATAAATAAGTGAAAGTGCTTTCRGATGTCAAAAATTGAAACAGATTTTTTATATTATTTCAGTCATACTATTTTAAAAATAGAGTTTTGTTCAGAATTTTCTTGGTTTAACTTGTATTTTCTCTTCAAAAATGTATGGTCACAGCAGAGTAATTCTGAAATTACGTTGTCACAACATGACTGAGTAATATAATTTAGTATGGGAAAACCTTAATTTTGGCCCAAACAGCACTGTAAGGTGAACACCACTGCACTCWCTGTGATTAGATAAAAATTTGTTCTCACTATGAGAGGGAACTGAAATTCAGAATATTCCAAGAGAGTAGTGAATTTTCACTAAAKTAACTATGTAAAGTTTTTTCTCTGCTTAAGGTTTCTGAAACAAAATAATTTTTAGAAAGTGGCAGTTGAGCAAATGGTYGATCAGGTTTCAGTACAACCAGGCCTCTCAGCAAAGGCATCCATAGCTATACTCCAAGTTGACATGCTTAACTACCACAATTGCAAATGGTTTGATGGAGCAAGAGTTCGCCCTCTACAATATTTATACAATGTTTAACGCTCATCATAATAAGTAATTAAAATAAAACATAACATTACGTATAACTGAGTCTAAAACATAATAGAGGAAACTGTCCTATTTGCATAATCAGTAATAATATGGTATTGCACTCAATGTATCAGTGGATTTTCAATTATATACCTTACAATCACAAAATAGACAGCCCTGTGGAAATCCTTCATAATGATGCAAATTATATTTTTAATTGCTTTCTACTTTTTTCTTCTTTTTTTTTAAAAAAAGTCACACAATGTAGTACTGAAGTAGGATGAAAGGGGTACCATGGAGTACATGTTCAGGACTTCAGTGACGGTCACTGCTTGTCACATCAGTGTAAGTGTATACTAAGCTCACTTTGTGTAACTGACTTTAYACCACATAACTCAGAATCAAACCTTTGCTCACATCTGCTTCCAAGTATTTACTGCATTCTTCATGCCTCTTGTAGCCTGGTTGTAGCAATACTAAGCACCTATTGCTAAAACGCAGGACAAACCTGCAGAAGCAATTCACAGGTCAGTTGAAAGACATTCTGTCCTTTTCTGTTGAAAGATTAAGGCTCAACATTAGTAGCACATGTTTCTTCCATCAGATTTTTCATAAAACGCTAAGGCATTTTAGCTATTTATTGTCTCATTTTCATAGTAATAAAATGAATACCTGCAAAGGGACTAAAGCTTGTTTGTTAATAGCAAATAGACAACACTGAGCCCAAAATACTTCTCTACTGCATCTATTTTACATATCTTCAGTTTCTCATAAGGCCTTCTTAAAATTTATTTAATTAATAACTTTCTGACAAGCATAAACTTAATTTTCCCTGCTGACCACAATCTACAAAGTCAACAAACTTCTCAAACTAATATGCTATACCTTTTAAATTTAGTTTCCCTCTGCAGACTGCTTCAGAACTTTCCTCAGCATGTCATTAACTGCACTTGGGTCCAGCCCTGGGCTCCTGTAGGAACTTTGCAGGGAAACAGTGAAATGAACCAAAACAATGGAAAACAGTCCTGCTTTGGCTAAACAGGATTCTGTGAGAAGGGACAAATGGTTCAGATATCAAGCTCCTTTCTCAATTCTGAAGTCTTTATACTTCCAACTGACATCTGCAATGCTTATACCCTTGTGCTCTCACTCTATAGGAGTGGCAAAAGTAAACTACTGTGAATATGGATAGAGAGACATCAAGTGGTTTTTGAAAATATTTTATCTGGAGGAGTACCAGACTGTTCACCAGCAGAACAGACCAGAAATATGGAGAAAAGCTATGAAACGAAATTACGGAAATCRTAGCTGGAACACAGCATTTTAAACCCCACTTCAAAGCTGGACTTAATGCCTGGAACAGACGACTCAGCTTAAGTCAAAGCTCCCCAGGCTTGTGAACGAGCAGTACAATTCTCACAGGCATCTTTTTCTTCCCTGTAGTATTCAAAGGCTTAAATTCTGAATTGAATTTCTGTAATAGACATCCCAGAAAGAAAATAATCCCTAAGTCACAATAAGATTCTGCTGTTCTAATTTAGTATCCTATTGCTTCAGAAARATTGAAACCCTAAGTACTGAAAGGAATAAATATTTCCCACATGAAAATCTGAACAGATCACTATTATATGCACCTAAAATAAAATTACAAAACATCAGTTACTTTAAATTTCATATTGGGAGAAAATCTTGAGTTTGGTCATTTACTTTAAACAATGCACTTTTACAAAATAAACAAAGAAATCTCATTAACTATAAACAAGTAAAGATTGTGATAAAATTAAAGGCAAAAAGAAAAATTTCCTCAAAGATTGCAGTATGCATGTTGAATTTTTTTAATATGTCAGAAACAGACAGAAACATATGCAACAATGATTGCAGTTGTTGTCTGCTTACAAGTGGATATACACCAATTCTTCATTGCTGGAGTAACTATTTTTGAAATTTCAGCTGTTACAATCAAGGAATTTCTCTGCATTATAAGCATAAAGAGTACTTTGAAACATGAAAGTAAAGTGTCCAATGTGRGTGCCCCAACACAGGCAGAAGAATTCACAGTTGCTGCTCTAACTTTATCGTCCAAATTTCTATAAAACAGCTAAAAGAAAAGCAGAGTTTTAGCATTTTTCTCAGTAAAGAGTTATCTAAATAAGACAGAGACCATAATTGACCATGTTGCTATCAACTGGCCACTGGTTTAATCTGTCAGAGGTTTCTCTCTAGATAAMCTGGTTGAGAGACAAAAGCTCAAGTTTTGCCATATAGCAATGATCAATACAAGAAGGTAGGACTGACCAGAAAAAATTCACTGTGAAAGAGTCTCAAACAGACAGACAGAGTCTCAAACACAGATAACATTGCAGAATTTTGKTKTTTTTTTTTTAACAAATACAGATTCTACCCCATTCCTGTAGCTTAAAAGTGTGATTCAATTTAGTYTCCAAAGAATAAAATACTGTAGGCCATGAATACTGCAGGCCAGTGTCTGATCATATATGCCAAACATATGGATATTTGAGTATGCAGCTTTACTTTTTTCTCATTTTCTTTGTATTTAATACAAGCACTCATCCTGTGCTTCATGTGCTAATACATGCACATCATCCTGAAGATATTTACTGGAATTCCAAATTATCTAACTCCCAGAACAATGGCTCACATTTTACTTTGATATAGTTTTATATTTATTTTTGTCCTCAAACTCCCATGCAAGCAAGAAAATCTCAGGGGATTGAATGAGAAAAACATTTCAAAGAACTGCAAATAATCAATGTGGAATAATCAACTATACTTTATTTTTCAAGATCAAGTTGCTTACAACTTGAGTTCACAAACAAGTTATTCTCAGGACAATTAGAAATAAAAAAAAAATATGATCCTCTTCAGCCAAGAACATGTCATTTCCAAACTTGACATCTCATCTGTTCAACATGATGTTGGATATGTCCCTGAGTCACTGCTAGAGCCTCCCTTGAGCATTTCACAGCAGCATGTACTAATTTAGATATTCCACACAATGACATGGACTTTTTTAAGCTGCAAGAGAAGCAGCCATTCACAGCAACAGATGTGTAAGAACTTAGGGAGCACCACAGGCCCCCTGTAGTGAGAACAAAGAGAACAAAGCCAAAGTATACAGAACAAGATCTCTCTTTGGGATCCTGCTCACCAAAGGCACACCCCACCTTACAATCCTGTAATGCAAAAAAGACGAGAGTAGCCAATGAAAACAATTGGTCACCATCAACTGACCAATGCCCAGCCTGTCCCTGAGCAGTGATCAGCTTCACTGCMAGTTTTATTGCTGAGCATGGTGCCCTATGGCACAGAATGTCCCTGTGGTCAGTTGGGGTCAGTTGTCCTGGGTGTGATCCCTTCTCATTCCTTGTGCATCCCCAGCCTTCTTGCTGGTGGAGTGGGGTGAAGAGGAGAAAAGTCCTCAGTGCTGTGCAAGCACTGCACTGAAACATCCCTGTGTTACCACTGCTTTCACCACAAATCCGAATCACAGCCCYATGCAAGTTATTGTGAAGAAATTCAGCTCTATCCCAGCCAAAACCAGGAYAAATGGTAGCATGAGTACAATTCATGGAATGCTACAATTCGAGGAATAATCAGTGGGAAAGAGACTGAGCAAAAATAAGGAACTACTCCCCTGACACGCTCAATGAGCAAAGATTGGCCACATGTGAGTCATTCAAATACAAAAGTGGTTCAYATAACACTGGGTACAGCCACTTTAGGAATCTTTGTTGTTATGCCTTCTACTCATTAAGCAATACTAAAATTAAATTGAGAACTTCTTATAACCTTCACATTCTGTAAAATGAAAGAAGAATAAATACAAAACTCATTAATTTTTTATATTTTCTTGGATTCCATATAGAAAGCACGGCAATCTACCAAAGAAGCATAACAAAAAAAATTAAATAAAATAACCAGTCAGAAGCTAAGAGCATATCTGATTATAGCTTGAGGCACACAAATAGTTCAAAGGTAGAGATGCACCTGAAAAATTCTGGTTTAATTTCAGAGTTTTAAATATTTTGCATAATCCATCTAATTTCTCAGAGAGATAAATCATGATTCATAGTCATATTTAAAGAGTCTTGGTCAAATACAAATACTATACCCACAGCTGGACACTAAAACCACTCTAAAATTGTGTGGTGGAAATTAATTAATTAAGCAGAATCTGCTTCTATGAAAATTTTGTTCGATCAAGAAATACTATGAACTACTTCCACTGAACAATCCTTTCTGAAACCATTTAAATAGTTTCTTAAAAAAATGGTAGCACAAGTAACTGAAATTGCTAGCAATTCTATTTGCAATATCAAATAATTAGGCCTCCTTTTTAAATTGCATTCACAATCATTTGATAAGACTGATTTCTAGAAAAAGTTGTTTAGTGCAGCAGTCACATCACAGACTACCATTACAATAACTCCAAAAGAAAACTTGCAGTTTAAGTGTAGTTGCTGAAGGTGAAAAGGAAATCAACTAATTGCTAGACAAAGGAAGTCAATTAAACTGCTACACACCTACTCAAAAGTTTCAGGAAGTGTTTGGCWTTTATAATGGAATCTCATAATCATGAATCAGAATCAAAATTAACTATTAAAGAATTCACGCAATATCTTTGCTGATATGAAACTACTGCTCCAATCTACTCACCCTTTATTAACTGGTCATAGAATTGAGGCTCAATGGCACCAACAGCCATGAATTTTCCATCGGAGGTCTTGTAGATTTCATAAAAAGGTGCACCACTATCTAGCAGGTTTTCACCTCGAGGTTTGCTCCAAAGTCCCAATTTTTGTGATTTCCACAGGTAGGAACTTAGGTATGCTACTCCTTCTACCTTGAAGATTTAAAGGAAAAGAAAACACCAAAGAAGCTTCAATAAATTAGTTGGCATGTTACCTAAATTTTGTATAAAGCAAAACAATGAAAAGCTACTAACAGTTGTGTCCTTTGTTAAGGTTTTTTATGACAATCTCTGGTAGGCAGTTTTATTTTTAAAATTTTCAATTATTGTTTACACTACATTTGTGAAATTGCTYAGAATGACAGAATAAGAAAGCGCATAAAGGTAGTAAAGCAGCTTCAGATGGCCAGCATTTTCAACATCCAATTTCCTCATTTAGCTAGTTTAGAGTTATCAGATGTTCATGAGTGAGTAATTTCAAGTGTTGGGACAAGCTTCTTAGCTCTACACAACATTAATTATCAATGCCTTCTAAATCTCTGGAAAACAAGATGCCTGTACAGTCTTACAAGAATCAAATKTTTATCTCCTTTAACTGATTGTAAGAAGACTGCTATTTTAGAAGAAAAAGTGAAGGAAATGAAATCAAATCTCCAATACCATGTTAAACAAAAACTATTCTCCCACTGTCATCACTAGCAGCTACATACACATAGCAAAGTAATCTCTACATAGAAAAGTGTCTGATGAATACAGCACTAGAAAACATGATAAATCCTGTTCCAACCTGCTCCTCAAAATTTTGGACATGTGGAGTAAAACCAGATGAAAATTCAGTTTGTTCAGTAATTAACAGSAAAATCATATTCTACAGTTTTGTTCATCAGCACAGTTTATTTTCTTTCAACTGTATTGAAAGAAAAGAACATGAAAGAACTGTAAGCAAAGATATGCCAGTTAATAGTGTACAGTCAGAAACATTCCAGCAGAACAGACTAAAACTGGAGCTGTATTATTCTGAGTATCATTTCACTCACACATTTTCAGCTGCACAAAATCAACATAACAGTCTACAGAGAAAAGCATACATACCAAACCAAAACAAAAAGATACTAAATTTTAATGTAGAAAGAGTTATTAGTTCCTACCTTTCAAAGCAAGAATTTAAAACATGCAAATTGCTGAAGTATGCAGTCAAGAACGCTCCTTCATTTAGTGTTACTTGACCTCTACTCTAGTACTGCTTMAAGGACAGGAATACTGCTGTCCTCATTGTCACATATTAGAGTCAATGAAAATACTTTCATATGAGAAAAAACTATACACTTCTATCTACATATCTACAAAATTATTGCAAGGATATTAAAATAAAGCTTGCTTTACTACTTATCTGATCTTGCACTGCTCATATTAGCAAACACACACAAAAAGCACCGAAAGTAAGGATAATGCAAAATGGCTTTAACTGAAAATTAGATTTCAGTGCTGACAAAGCTGTTAGTCAGCACCTGTACAATATCTATGTGCGACTTACCCTGGAAACACTTAAAACAGCCCGTCTGTTTTTGACTACTATAGAGACTTTAGAAATATCCCTGTCTGGGAAACTGGACAGCTAGGTTCTGCCTGAGGCCCACTGCAATTCAGCGTAAAAAAAGTAAAAAAAGTGTCTTAACATCTGCACCAGATCTCCAAAGGCATGTTCAAATAACATCATATACTTACTCACTAATGTGGTCATTGTAACACATGAAAAGGACAACATGAGAAGACTTCTTTTATAACATGAAAAGGACAACATGAGAAGACTTCATTTAAGTCTAATTGCAGAATGATTATAGTAACAGTTATGTGTTTCACTTAACGTCTCCCTCATGTTAAAAACATCTGCAGCCTCTGAAGCAGGCACAAGAACCCAGAGGCATCACCCCACTGGGTGACCTGTCTGCTCCGCAAGCCTTCTGTTGCTTCCGAAGACTGAGCAAAGCTCAAACAAAAGTGAGAATGAAACCACACCAACCTAATCTTTATTCCCGTGACTGATGAAGGCTTCTAGGATGTGGGATTTTTGGTTTTGAATACCTCCAGGCTGAGAAGGACCTGGAACCTCAGTCTTCAGTCGGACTGCTAAATGTTCCTGCCATGAGACTATTATACAAGTGATTATTACCAACATCCTTTCCTGTGGCTGTCTTCTCACAAAGAATGAGTTATGCTAAGTCAGATGCCTACCATCAGCAGAAAGTTCTGTGGTTGAAACTCCAGTGAACCCAAACTGAGGCCATGACTCACATGCCTCGGTTCCAGTGTGCTGCAAGAACGCAGAGGTACAATTGTGCCTACTATGTCACGCTTAAGTGTCCACTCTGATGGCAGCTATCTGGCTTCCTTTAGGATAGCCATGATCCCTACAGAGTCAATGACAAGAGACAGCAAACAGCATCAACCACTTCAGGCCAGGCACTTAATACTTCTGATACAGATGAAATGCAGGACCCAGTGTCTACTTTTTGCACAGTGCAATTTCTACTGTAGAAGGGAACTGCAATTACMATGAGACAAGAAAAAATAGGAAGAGACAATTTTTAAGGGCTTAAAAAACCCCACAACACATTCCATTCCAAATGAGCCACAAATTTCATTAGAACATTAGCAAACTTTCACTGATTCTTCTTCTAACAAATTCTTTCAGTTCTCTGAAGTATGATAAAGAAAATTTGATAATACTACTAACTACAAGTATATTTGAAGACTTGTCATAATTCTCCACAGTTTCTGTTTCACAAATACACAATCTCCCTTCAATTCTTCTTTTAGGTCATGCTTTCAGAGTCATAATTTTTGTTGTGCTACTTGGACTTCCTCAAATTAGCAGCTTTGAAAGATGATGGTCAGCGTCAGAAACTTTATTTTCCTGAGATATCATAAACACTGAATAGATTAGGATAATTTCTTCAGAAACTTTGCTAGCTGTATTTCCTGTTTGTACATACTAATACAGTATGTACGTGTTTCCYGACAGCATGGTATTGTTGACTCATGTTCAGCTTGTGACAACTACACAACCCCAGGATTGTACTTTGGTCAATTATTCTCTTACTGCATTTGTGCAGCTAATTGTTCCTGCCTGCAGAGGACTACAGAGCAGCAGCTGCAAATCCATGAATTGCAGACAGYTGTTTTAGGTCATTGCAACAATCTGAACAGGTAATTTTCCATTCTAGTCCAAGTCCAATATACTTGTAGTCCTTCACGTAATTGTATCATCTATAAATCTACTAAACACAATCACTCATCCATCATTAAGAGAAAACACTGAGAAAAAGCCCAACAGAACTCCACTTGGTAAGCTTTTCATGTTGACAATTAACTACTAATAACAGTAATTGTGGCAATAAAAATATTAGTTCTGTTTTGTACTGTTTCCATAAAATTTTCATCTAGACCATAATGCCACGGATGACATTTGAGAATGTCATGTGAATTTGTCAAAAACTACTCACATCAAGAAATCCAGCATCTGAATCCAACATCTCTTGCTATTCTACTGTCCTCAAGACCAATTCAACAACTGGGTTTGTTACAACAAATGTGTTTTTTTCAAATTATACTTAAAGCCAAACCTTAGCCTTCCCTGTAAAATGCCTCAAAGGAGGTAAAATTTAACTGCAATACTCTTTAAAAAGAAAAATAGGAAAAAAGGAAGGCCAAGAGAGAAACAACACCTGCAGATAACATAAGTTTCAAGGATAAATGTAAATATATATTCTTCCTCTGTGTGTAAGTGGGTGGCCTTCCAGTGGAAAATACACATAGTATTCATTATTAAGGCAATTTAGCCTTCCATTTATTTTACAGAATATTCACAAAGTATTTGAAATTGACTTCTTGGCAATGATCCATGGCAGTGTAACAATCCCAGGGACCAACGCTTCTAATAAGATAAGACCTGTCACAAATTTGTAAGATGATGTGTTTTGAATAAAGTTTTTATTGATGCAAATAAAGTTTATTAAGGTTTTTATTTAATGCAAGTTTTTATTGTAGCAGTGTTGTCATTTTTGCCATTATGCATTATGTCAATTGTTTATTATAAACCCTATTTCCATGCACTACTCTTACTCACCAAATATATACAGCTTATACTTTGTGAAGAAAGCGGACAGGCAAAAGGAAGGAGATAGGGCGAAGTTGCACTACGTGTTCCAGATCATAAGGATGTTATAGCAACAGTGATACATGAAAACTGCTTGCATCTGAAGGAATAGCTGTTTTATTTCCCAAATTCTCAGTTTTAAACCTCATGAATAGCTCCAATCTCCTCCCTTTTACAGATTTAGAGTAGGAAAAAACCCAAGCAAATCTAAGAAACCCCACATTCCTTGAGACCAAACTTACCATACTTGCATCAATGACCTGCCCTCTGCCAGATTTGACACGTTCAAAGAGGGCAATAACAATGCCCATTGCACACATGACACCTCCACCAGCAAAATCAGCCAGAACGTTGCAAGGTGCATAAGGATTTTCATCCTTTCTACCCAGCTTTGATAGCACACCTGACAGAAGAGAAAAAGTGAGGATAAGCATAAAATTACTACAAACATTCATTTCTAGAATAAAGTTTCATTCTTTTTAATCTRTGCAAACAAATAAGGATAAAGCAATCTTCTACAGTTTTCTGCCTCTGCTTGTCTATGTCCTAGCAAATAGTTATTCYTTAATTTGCAAAAGAATAAAAATATATTAAATCACATTAATGAAGATGTATTTATTAAAGAGCTGAATGAAAGCATCACAGATAAATGTTGATATTTTGGCTACATGGGGATAAACTTTGATAAAAAATCACAACTCTGTGTGCAATAATTCTTTATTAGTACTTTGTACATGTATTGAACTGCACCCATAAGAGGCATTATGAATAGTCTCAAAGCAACTTTGGTAAAYTGTTCTTCTCTTAATATTTAAATTAAAAATGCAGATGTACAGTCTTATGTGCTCATAACCAATGAACTAATAATCATAATAAAGGATCTCACATAGAGAGAGATAGAACTGTGCTTCAGTTCTATCCTCCCTCTTCAGCTATCTTTGGGGAAAAAAATGTTGCATGTAAGGAAAACAGGTGACTAGCACAGGAAGGTTATCTCTGACTGCATGCAATGTAAACACAGAGAACCTATGTTTATGCTAGCAATTATGCAYAAAACTAAAGGAATTAGAGCAAAGGCTAAGCCAGTTTACTTCAGTCAGAGCTTTGAATTTGTTAGCATTTCTCTGCTATCCTGAAAAACCTCTTTACTGTGACCTTACTCTTGGTAGTTACCTCATAGTGATTCCCTTTGAGCAAACAAGAATCTGCAGTCTGATCACCTCTCTCCTGTGTCTGCAGCCTAAGGTCTGAGACTTGTGAATACATGGGCAGAATTTCCTGAGAACTGCATGGTTCTGATGCACTGTTTAATTAGCTAATAGTCTAATGCACTTCCTACATGTGCAAAACTGAGTGCACAGTATAAAATGTTTACAAATCCTGACTAAGAGTCCTTTTTCTCCCTAAAACCTTGCCTTTAATAGCAATAAAAGTTGTCACAGGCACCAGAAGACTAATAAGCTAACTTCTCAGGAGTTCCTAACACAAGCCATTTTTTAGTTAAAGAAAGCCAAAGCTCATTAGTAAAATACTCAGAATATGAGATCTCATTTCTGAGGAATGACACCTTTCAAACACCTTGTTCTATTTCCTTTCAACAGGCAGAAAAACTTGATTTGTAAAATTTCAAGCAAGTTTTAGGAAGATAGCACTAACCAAAACACTAGTGATTAAGTCTGCTCCAGATGAAAAAGATCACTCTACTTATAAAGCAGAAAGTACTACAATCTAAGGTACAGCTGGACTATGTTGTTTCTGTACTGACAGGACTTCTCTCCACTAAAAAAAAATAAAAATACCCCAATAATTTGAAATCGCCTTGACATTAAGTCAAAATTGTTTCAAACGAGGCATATTTTCTTTAATCTTTTCTATTCTATAACAATTTTACAGAATGAGAGAAGACTGAACTCATCCCTAAAGAAATTTAATCCCACAGCACAATGACTCCTTATAACAGGTGATACCAGATCACCAGATTTGCAGTACCTCTGTTCTGGTTCTTCCCTGGGGCTAAAGGAAGAACCAGAATCCAAGAACTTTGGGAATCCAAGAACCTTTGGGCCACTTCCTCTCTTCCTTCAGAGGTTCAGAGAAGCATCAGAGAGAGAAGCAGTGTGAAGAGCAGRAGGTAGGGCTGTGCATGGATGGTCATCACCAGAGTTAGGTAACTTGTTACTRTTTCCTACTGCATACTTGTAGTATCATAATATTTAAAACCAGCAGTATGTCCACAATACCTTTATCAAAGGCAGCATTTCCATTTTATTTGAAGCCTACTTCCTTTTACTTGGTATCAGTGAAGACATATTAYAAGCGAAAAGCACAAGAACTCAATTGTCTTAGGTTATTTAGTTGTTCTTTGCTCAAAAAAGCCTGCTCAAAAAAAAAGGAAGCAAAATAATCCACAGCCCTTTCAGAATTATAAGTATACAGATTTTCTAGGAGAGAGCCCCTGAAGAAAAAAATCAGTCCTCTCTTCAGGTAAATATCAGGATATTTTATTCAGACAGAATAGCAAAAGGGTAGGAAATCATGTACAGCCTGAGAAGACATCTGATACAACCTAAAAGCTCACTGCTGCTGCAAAACAGCCTGTCCAATCATGTTTCCTCCTTTCTAGGGTTGACCGGTTTGTTGGATCCCTTAATGAACTGATTCACCTCAATAACCTCACAGAAAACATCCTCATTTCTTCTTACCAGTTTTTGATTTGTGAGGAAGTTTACAGAAGGGCTAAGCAAGTGCCAGAGCTGACTGAAAGCATCAGGGAAAATTTCACTGATTCACATTTCACTGACAGAGACATTTCAGATCAGACATTTCATGCACCTCAGATAAATTTTGAGTTATCTCCTTTCCCCAAATTCTTGAGTCTTGATTTAAGAGAGAAAAGAAACTATTTAACAGGAAATTTTACAGCCTACCTGATAAAGCCAAGTAATTGATGTCATGACCTGCTGACTTGGCATATATTCCTGTCTGGCCAAATCCAGTAAGTCTAGCATAGATGAGTCTGGGATTCTCCTGTAKAAGGACGTCTGGGCCAAGCCCAAGTCTTTCCATGACACCTTAAAAAGACATAAACCAGGAGTTCTAATTCACATTCACTTTTAATAATACTCAAAACATAATGGTTTAAAATTACATTATACAACAGCAGAACTCAACTGCACTTCATAAAGCAGTACTTTCTACTTTTGTATCCATATTACAATGTGAACATTATAAATAACCAACATACTGAAGAAATTTTTAATATCAACCAAATGGAAATTAGGCTTTATGGGTTTCTTTCAGCTTTTTTTTCCTATTCTCTAAAAGAATGACAGAAAACCATGCTACTCTGGATGAAAGAGAAGGCTACCAAAAGGCTTGTAAAACTAGACAAAGAGAAAACTCTTCTATTTTCCATATTAAAACCASTTGAAATGTCTCCTGTATTTCACTGGAATACACTTTCCTCATAATTTCTATGTACCTCATGTGCTCCTGTGTTTTTTAACTCACTGATGCAAAGGGACCATACCCCTATTCTACAGAAGATCTGCAACAATCACACACAAGTAAATGTGTTCTTTTGTAATGCAGGGAATGAGAAACTTCTAAAATCAGTGAAATGTAAGCTGGGTCGGCATGGATTTGCAGAAATTAAGGCTAAAAATTTCACCTTGCGGTCCTAAAACAGYGGTTTTCAGAGAAGAAGCTTGAGTWGCAAACAAATTATACTTTCTTATTGGCTTGGTGCAGCTTGGTCAGTCAGACTTTGACCTATGACCTACACTGCCACTGCAGGCCCACAAATTTTGGAAGGAAAGGGTAACATAATTTCAATGCCTGCTCCACCCCARAATCTACTACTCCAGTTTGTTTCATAAGACTAATCCATAATGTTATAACACCTTCAATTTTGTTAAGATCCATTTTTATTGTATTAATTAGTGGGCAGTGGCAAGTGACTACTGACAAGCAGAAAGCAGTGAAATTTGGTAAAGCGTATGATTTCCAAATGCACAAGTGGCATTTGGATGACAAATAATCCCTCTGGTGTCACAAAGTCGTTGTTGTAAGATCAAAGGTATATATGCCTTTATGGAAACTGTTCTTCCGATTGGACCCCCACCATCACACTGTTTTACACCTGTGTCTTGTGTTACATGGAAGGCGCAACCAAATGTATTCTATTTCCATCTCCATAAGCTGTTAAGGTGAGTGGGATAGTATTCTTGATCCTCTCCTAACTCAGCCGTGATAATTCCCTCCTGGGAAGCAGAAGAGACTCTTTGGGGGGCCATCTCCACTAATGGGCCATCAAAGCTCTGGAATGACTCTTGGAATCACATCATCCTATTGTGAGATGCTTCACCCTGAGGCAGGACTGAACATTCCCACCTGTATATAAGCTGAGGCTTGGAACACCAAGGGGYACTACCACTGGACTTCCTAGAGGACAAGAGCTTGAGAATCACCACTGGACCTCCAGACCTTTCTACAGGATCACCACTTCAACAAGGCCACATCCATCACCCCAACAGGACTGCAGCCGCCATTTAACTGGACTGCTACCATCACCCTGACCAACCGTGTGAACAGTGTGGCAGGCTGATATTGTGACTTTGTCAGTTTAAGCCAGTGTTTTTGTACCGTGGCTTTTATTTCAATTTTCCTATGAAACTGTAGTTCTGACTTGGAATCTCTCACAATATATTTGTGTCAGGTTAATTCGTCCACTGGTGCGCATTCAAACTAGCACAACTAACCTGATGGGTCACAGATTTGCCCAGTTTACAAAACTGCCTGCCTAACTGGGAAAGAAAAGAAAA